AAAAAAAAAAAAAAAAAAAGTAGACACTTCCCTGGTTTACCTATCACTTTACATGTTGTTCCTTACAGGAACCCTGTGATGTATGTCATTATTTTCATTTATATAGAGATGGAAACAGGGTTTGAATTCCCAGGTCTTCTGACTCCAAGGCCAGATTTTTCTTCCCCACTACACCAGTGTTCCTCCAAATTTTCCTCTAGTGTACACTTTCCCAGTAGAGAATAAACTTAGCCTCCTCAGGGTTGGGAAATACTTGTATGTTATCTTAAAAAGTAATGCTTACTACGATCTCTTACCTTATTTACCAGTCAAAATGATGCTCTGAGAAAATGAGCCACATTGATTCTGGGTCCATGAGGGTCCTCAGTACAGGGTTTCACAATCAGAGTAGTCCACATAATGTGAGAAGCATATGGCTACACTCCTGCCTTTATCCAGGGTCCCTGGGTTTGGCTTGAGTCCACATCCAAAATTTTGGTTAACTTCATCAGACTTCTTAGTGTCATAATTTTATTCACAGTCTTTTCTGAAGACTGGAACAAAACTCCCAGATGTTAAGTGAGCAGTGAGGGCTGACCCTTTCCTCCCTGAAAGGATCTCTCATTCTGGCAATAAGGACACTCTTCAGTCTGATGCTATCTGCCACGCCTCCCATTGCTGGTCTCCTTCTACTCCCTGAGGGTCCTCGAAGACCCGAGAAGAATCACATTCCAGTCAGCACCGCCGCTAGAGGGCAGCCCGCGGCTGCAGCTTCCTGAGCCCTCTAGAGGCCGCTGGGGTGACCTGGCTCTTTCATGGAACCCATTAAAAACTCAGAAGTTGCACTTGGGAAGCCAGCCTGTGTGACACCCGGTAGCGAACTTCTTAGAAAACGTCTTGGTTCTCAGCTTCCTTTTCTTAAGGCCTTTGGCAGGCCTCAGATACGTTACCTCTCTTGATGAGTCTCCTACTCCCTAAGGATCTCCCCCGCCCAGGGTGTTGGAACTTGGAGCCATCATTCTCTCTTGGCAAGGCAAAAACTTAGAATCTTGGGGAACTTGGCAACTTTCCTCAGTGTGATATAGGGCGCGCACACACACACACACACACACACACACACACGTGTATATATATACCTACATTTAAGATTTTTCAGCGTAATTCTAGTTTCAGCATTGCTTGCAGGCTCTGGAATTAAACTTCCAGGACTCAGATTTTCGCTCCTGCATTTACTAATTGGGTAATTTTGAGAATGTTAATTAACCTAAGCTTCCATTTCATCGGTAACATAGGGAGAATAATATTACCTACATTATACACTTTTGGGGAGGAATAGCTATGATAATGTATGGAAAGTGCTAGTCTGGCACACCAAGTGTTCAACAAACATTAGCTATTTTAATTCTTCAAAGCTTCTGTCTAGTGCACACCATGTCTATCAATTTGGTCCAGAAAAATACTGTCTTTACACACCCACACGAATATATGTATGCAAAATGAATTTCGTAAACCACCTACAGTTTTCTAAAGTGGCTAAGCTAATCGAGACCTTAGAGTATGGAAAAGGGGGCTCATTTGTGTGATGCAATTCTTGCAATGGGTATTTGGAGCACAGCCTAATCCAAGAGACCTGGATCCTCACGGGGGAGGGGTGGGGAGGCTGTGTTTCGCACACAGGTGTTCTTCATCCCCTACCCCCACCCTCACCCCTCACCAAATGCAAACATTCAGGGTGAGTCTGGGCCTTGAGTCTGTGGGTCAGGGCAGAGGGCACAGTGGACAAAAGCAAGAGGGTTTCAGGCCAAGGCAGGGAACTGAGAACTCAAAGGCCAGGCAACCCAAGCCAATCAGATTTGCCACCCACTAGGAATCTAAAAGGTGGCAGAGCCTCACAGCCCAAAGTCCACGCACAGCAGGAAAGTGGCCAGAGAATCTGACAGGTAGAAACCTGACAGAGACGCTATCAGAAAAGTTAAAAAGCTGAAGGGCTCATAACACCCACAGGCCCAAAGAAAGGTCAGTGTGAGCTGAACAGCTGTTATATCTGGTGCCAGGGGCCTTGGCTGCTGTCTTCTACATCCAGGCAGCCTCCCTGATTAGCCCCACCTAGAAAAGCCAATTCTTCTGCTCTTAAAGGAGACTGGCTTATTTGTGGCAAAGCTATCATTTAGGTATGAATGGGAAATAGGCGAATGGTGTGGAGTCTGCGGGGGGAGGGTGGGTGTTCAACGGGCTCCAAAGCAAGGAGCTCGTGGCTGACGCCTGAGCCTCCATATTGTGAGTACTACAAGCGTGTCTTTCAGAGGCAGACAGGGGCCTTGGCTGCCAGGGACCCGGACAAGCAGCGACTTGAGCTATGCCTTAGAGCCTGGGTTGAAATGGGAGCGGTATAAAGGAGGAGGGAAGGCATTCCTGGAAAGGGGGGGGGTGGGGTGGGTAGGTGGAGAGGAACAGCACGAGCAAAGGCATGAAGGAAGAATGAATCTGCTGCGCATTGAGGATGGCATGGAGACTTCCCTGATTGGAGCCGCGAGTTCTTGCAGGGGGATGGAGGCCGCTATGATTGGATAGCTAAAGTGGGGCCAGATTTGGAGGGCTTTGAATGCCCGACCGAGGAGCACTCAACCCAGCTCCTGACTCGCGATTTCCGTTCAAGACCGCATTACCTAAAGGGTGGTTAATTCCAACGGGTGTTCTTCTTTGGGGTCGTCTGAAAAGTCAGTTTATCCTCTTACCTGTTTCAGTTCTCTTTATTTATTCGGGGAGGAAGTAATCCTTACATGTCGAGGGGAAGGGGAATAATGTTGATAAATTTCTCTTTACTTGCTTTCAAGATGCCTCCCCCGCCCCAAATCCCATTTCCACGCCAAATATTATTAAATTTGGTAATTTGGTTTCTCCTCCTCCTCACGCAAGTTCTCTTTCTCTCGCCAGCACCTCCCCCACGTATTCCTGCTCTCCACCAGCCGGGCCTGTTGCCTCCTGGCCCCCAGCGGCGCGCTCCCCAGCCCGCTGGCCCGCGCCGCCCTACGCGCAGTGCGCCCCCCTCCCGGCCCACCGCGCCCGCGGTCCGCACACCCTGGTCCACGCCCCCCCGGCGGAGCGGTAGGTGTTGTGCGGTCTGCGCCGGGCCGCAGTGCGGCTGCGCGCACTGGGCTGCCTCCGGGGCTGGCAGGGCAGCGGCGGCCGCGGCGGCGGCTGGGCCGGGAGCGAGCGGCTGCGGCGTGGGGAGTGGCGTGAAGCGGAGCCTGGGGCTGCAGCAGCGTGGGGACCCCGGAGTAGAAAGCCCCGGGGACAAGGAAGGAAGGCCCGGCCGACAAATCCCTGAGCAACCGTTCTTCTTCGATTTTGGGGACAGCTTGCCCCACCTCGTCTTCAAACGCCCCCATCTCACCCCCCAGCCCCGGCCGCTGACGGGAGGAGGCGGCGGCGGCGGCAGCGGGGGGCTGAGGGGCGCCGCCATGCCTCTGCCGCGGTGAAGCGCCCCGGCCGTGAGGAGCCGCTGGTCTCCCCGGTGATGTCCCCCAGGCGGCAGGCGAAAGCGACTCACTCGAGCCCTAGGGTAAAGGCCTAGCTTATCCAGCTTCCTTCCTCCTCCTCCTCCTCTTCCCCTCCCCCCCTCCTCCTCTCCCCATTTCGTCCTCCCCTCGCGGTCTCTTCCCTTACCCTTCCCCGAGCCCCCATCTTTCCCTCCCTCCCTCCCACCCCTCCAGCAGCGATGGCAGAGGAACAACAACAGCCGCCACCACAGCAGCCTGATGCCCATCAGCAGCTTCCCCCCAGCGTCCCCAACTCGGGGGTGGCCCTGCCAGCCCTTGTGCCCGGGCTGCCAGGGACAGAGGCCAGCGCGCTGCAACACAAGATCAAGAACTCCATCTGGTAAGAGGATCCTCCATCGCTGGGATAAAAAAGCCCAGGCACATTTCTGCTGCAAAGTGTGTGGGGGGCGACGGGCGGGGGAGCGGAGGAGGAGGCTGATGCATTCATTGAATGTGGCTTTCCCAAGTCGGGTGCACATTTGTAGGACCTCTGGAGGTCTGGGGACTTTGCATCAATCAGCGCCTGTCTCCTTAGCTAAAAAAATGCTTTTACCCCCTCCTCAATTTTGAGCGCAGATAAACACGTTTTTTGGTTTTTTCACTCGTTGTAAAAGAAATATGGGTCGAAATTAAGTCATATTGCATGATGGTGGCATGAATTTGGAACTGGAGAGTGTGAAATGTGCTTACTCCTTTTTGCAGCCATGGAAGGAGGAAGAAGTGTATTGTGAATTTTCACCAAACAGACATTGTGCATAAGAATATTAATATGCAGCACAAAACCTAATGTGTCTCTTCCTTTCATTTTGGATTTCTGAATGTTTTTGCCTCCTTTATTCTAATATTAGATTTCTCTTTCAGGGAGTTTATTCTTTGCATTGATTGTGAAGAAAGTATTTCTTAAGTATAAAATATTTTAAGATGGTAGTTTACACCATAAAGTTATTTTTTTAACTTAAAAAATAGGGAATCAAATGTCTTGCCATTTGTGTGTCTTTTTAAAAGAAACCATAGATAAAATATCTTCTGCTATTTTACTTTCTTGTTTGAAAATTTCCAACATTTCAGCATTAGATTGAACTCCTAAAGTCTAGTGGGAATCTTTTAATAATTAAATACACTGAGTTAAGTCCATCCACTGTTAGAGCCATTGCAATATTCTTTGAACATGAACTTGCATTGTTTTGTAGGATTCTTCATTAACTGACTTTTTTTTTTTTTTTTTTTTATGTGTAGCACTATTTTTTAAATGGAAAGCAATATTTGAAATTTGGTCTAAGAGACTGCCTTTAATAGAAGTTTAAAAAGAGAGTTTCATATGGTATTTTTAAAAGCCTTGATTTTGAAAATAGAAATGAAATCTTTGCAGGTCCATCATTGAATATGAGTACTAAAATATCACAACTCCTTTTATCATTTTGAAAACATATCGTAAAGCAACTGGCATTGCATGTACAATATTTATACATTTTAAAAGTGATAATTTTTAAATACAAGATTAAGGTTAGTTATGTAGTAATTTTCATTATTTTCTTGGCGTGCATCCTGTTGTCATGATGCTCATGAAGTAGGTCAGTGCAGGCTTTAATAGTTTCATCAACAGTAGTTGACAGTTGAATATCTTGCTTTCAGTTTTAATTTTAAAATAAAGTTTATTTTGAAGAAGAATTTTTTTGGCTTTGACAATAGTCATGTTGTGGCAACTTGAATAGGTCCCATAAATACGATTGGGGTGTGTGTGTGTGTGTGTGTGTGTGTGTGACAGAAAACAGTCTTTATTCTTCATTGAATACCCTCACCCCCTTTTTAAAGCTACAGTTTAAAAGAAGATATGGTGAATATCGTGGTTACCGTCAAGGTTTTCACAAAACCGGAGTGTTTTTTTTAAATCTGTAGTAACATGTAACTTTTTGTTTCTGAAATCCTCATTACATTGAATTAAGCAACTTGGTTTTTACATTCAGATGTGGGATATTCAAGTTATGGACTAAAATTTTTTTAAGAGAGGCAAATTTTATAAGTTGAATTAGTAATGTATATTTCACTATGAGAACAAGAGGGGAAAGGAATCTTCACTTTATAGTTTTAAAATAGGTGAGTTGTAGAGGCAGCTGAGTGAAATGTTTAAATAATGACAGTCAAGTGCATTTTTTGATAAAAAATGTGTAAATTTAATTATCCTTTAATAGTTGATATTTGCACATCCATTACAGCCTTACTGCTCTGACTTTAACGTAAGAAAAACTTCTGAACTAGAATATACTCCAGTTTTTGGTACTTGCTCTGAAAAAATAATGGGCAACAAACATGTGAATCCCAAAATATGAAATTTTATGTTTTTGTTTTAAAATTGTGATGGTATACTTACTAGCATCTAATGTTCAATTTTAGAAATCCTATTGGCAAAAATGATTTTTATGTACTTAAAACTTTAAACAACATTTGTAGATAATAAACAACATAAGTGCATATATTTAATAGTCTTATACCCCCTGCTCCAAAAGAATGGATTTATATTATTCATTAAGTGACTGTATAAAATAAAGATATCAAAAGTGAAGACTCCTTTACTACCATATTCTCCTAAGAAATATATGTATTAAATTTAAATTACATTTTTGAAGCAATAATACTATTTTACAAATTATCACCTGATAATGTTCTGAGAGAGGATCAGTTTTGTACTACTTCCTGAATAATCCTTTGGTACCATTATTAATGAGAATTTTAAATTACAGTCAAAAGAAATGTGACATTAAAAAATTATCAAATGGGTTTTGCATTTGGTTTATCATAGTTTCTAAATTACTAGGCTTGCATATCACAAACAAGTCTGTACTTGTCCTCCTACTTTACAAATATAAATATAGTATGTGATGTAGGCCTTTGACTGGACAATGAATTATTTATCAGTTCATAATTAATTTATTATGTTTATTAAACTAAAATCCTGTTTGATAAAAATATGCCCATTGAAATATCAGGCATTAAATGAGTCTTTGAAGAAAAGCATTCAACTTTGATTGGAAACTATTTCTTAAGAGTTACAAATATATTTTAAAGGTGTGTATAGAAAATAATGATAGTACAAAATTGATAGTATTGTTATATTCCTATAATATGATTATGAATACCTTCAACTTAAGTCTAAGTTAATAAGCTTACACACTTCTTACTGTTACTCATTCTTACTCCATAGACAGAAAATCCAAATCACTGACATTACTCACTAGAAAGGAGATTTCTTGTAGGCATATGTTTTAGTACTGAATATGCTATAAGGTATTTATGTTTTCTAAGGAGTAGAATTCCAAAATAAGCTTTTTGTTGTTAAAACTAGTAACCCATGCATTTTTACCTAAAACAAAGCCACAACCTACCTGCAAACATTTTTTAACTTAAATTGCACACCTCTTTGGTTACTTTAAAAAACAAAACAAAACAAAAAAAAACAAAGCAAGTTTTCCCTTCCTTTTATGTCTCAGTGTCTTCATAGTTCAGTGAAAATTTTTTAATGTAAAGCAACAATAAACAAATTTACTAAGTACTTTTGTTTACTTTTTAAGGCAGTTTTACTTGAAACCCTGATAGAGTAAAATTGCTGTGAAACAAAAGAATTGAGATGGTTTCTGCCTGTTTGTGATTGCTTATGTTTGAGATCACACGTACATGAGTGGGAGCAAATAACATATTTGCAATGAGGCTGTAAAATAGATACAGATTGATCATCCCTAATCCAAAATCCAAAATACCCCAAAATTCAAAATGCTCCAAAATCTGAAAGACTCCAAAATCCCAAACATTTTTGGTGCCAGAAGTGAAAAATTCCACACCCAACATTGTATCATGCACAAAATTATTTAAAATACTGTATAAAAATTACCTTCAGGTTTTGTGTATTAGGTGTATATAAAACATAAACGAATTTCATGTTTAGCCTTGGGTCACATTCCCAAGATACTCATTACACGTATGCAAATATTCCAAAATCCAAAATAATAAATCAGAAGCACGCCAGGCTTGGTGGCTAATACCTGTAACCCTGGCATTTTGGGAGGCTGAGGTGGGCGAATTGCCTTAGCTCAAGAGTTTGAGACCAGCCTGGGCAATATGGTGAAACCCTGTCTCTACTAAAATACAACACGTTAGCCTGGCGTGGGAGCTAGCGTCTGTAGTCCCAGCTACTTGGGAGGCTGAGGCAAGAGAATTGCTTGAACCCAGGAGGCCAAGATGCAGTGAGCTGAGATCATGCCACTGCACTCCAGCCTGGGCGACAGAGCGAGACAAGGCTCAATAAGTAAATAGGAAGCACATATGATCCTAAGCATTTCAGATAAGAAATAGTTAACTTGTACCTGAAAATTCAAAAAAAAATACTGGTGTTTTATTTTAGAAAATTTTCCAGTACTACATTTATTCAAGTTCAGGGATTATTAAAAGAATTTTTTATCAGTTACTATAAATTTATTTGCAGATGAGACTTCATAAGCTTCTTATTAAAATGATCCTATAATATTGTTTTACCCACTTTATAGAAAGAGAGAAACAATGACAGAAGACCTGTAAGATTCTGCTGATTCCTTATTAAACCATGAAAAAAATTCTGGGGTCAGAGTTCTTTATCTTTACTCAGTCCTGCAAGGCATATGTACTTCTGTATCTGCTATATTTTAGGCTTAAAATTATAATAAAAGTGGTATTACATATATGATCTATTTTTGAATGTTCTCTGAATTCTAGGTAAAACCCAAATTGAACAATTTTGTTTTACTTTCTTATGATGATGACAATCGACATCTAGATGTTAAGTGATTAATCTCGTTTCCATTTAGTTACAGTGAGCAAAGTTTGGTGATCCAGAAGGTTTACATAGTGGTACCATATAAGTTCTGATTTCAGTTCCCTGTCCTAGAAGGCAGTGGTTGAGCCTTATTCTTGGTTTTGAGTCAGGTAGCTTATTAACCTGTTGAGAAATATTATTGTTCTTCAACTACAGTGGAAAACATTTACTATAAACTCATAACATTAAAGTTTACTTTAACTGGAAGTCCAGGATTTTCATTTTTCTTTAAAAATAGAGACTGACTAGCACATCAGCTGGCTTCCATATATTTTTGATGAGTAGTTTGACTTGCTGCCTACCTTGAGTTTAGCCTGTTTTCAATACCAAGCATACAATAGACAAGATGCATTTTGTGTATCCATACTGAGGCTGTGTCCCAACACAGTTTCTAGTTCCAGACGGAAGGCAGTTCCTTGCTCTCCTATGATTTGAAACTGATAAAATTGTCTTCCCTATTGACGAGAGGCAAGTTAGACAATTTAAAGCCTGTTGATTTT